TAAAACTTGGAAATATTTTTGTGAGAGCAGGGGCTATCTTTATTCTCTTTTTTCCATTTTTTTAGGCGGGCATCTTTGTACCCATTGTTTTCAATATTCCGGACATCTTTGTGCCATTTTTTTTCAATGCTTTTGCATAGCCTCATGTCTCTTTTTGCAATAAAACTTTTTAGAGAGATGGCAACAAGAACTTGGAGCATTTATTTGGTGGAAGGAAAACCTATCAGACATGTTTTTGTTTACTCCCAATGTAGGACTAAAACATTTTTGAGTGGATCTAAATGGAATGGCATGTTTTTGTGCCTACTCCCAGTGTAAGAGTAGTGCATATTTAGGTGGTGTGTACGTGATCTTGATTTTAAGAGCATGACAAATCTCTCATAAGGGTCACAAAGCTTGACAAAACTCAATGCAAAAGCAAGCAATATATATGTGGAAGTTTTTCTAACCTAGATAACATATATGACTTTGGTGGGAATTTAAGCTTTTGTCATACAGGAACTCATCATGTAACATTTTTATGTTTTTCAAAAGGTAAATCTCCAGAACTTTAGTGTTACTTGGAACAAGATAAACAACAGCTCTGACCTTCTCATATCATATCCGTCAACTACCTAGACTTTAGATCAAGCATATGCTACCCATGAGTTTTAAGTTCAGAGTAAATCTTTATATCAAAATAGCTTTATCCAAAACTCAGGAGAATTCAAGGCTGAAAACTAGGTACTTGAAAAGAATTACAACAGAGCAACTATTCATCATTTCCATTTTCAGAGATTATTCAGAGTCCCTTTTATTTATTTATTCAACTCTTAAAAAGAAATTAGAGCAAATTATGTACATACTCTTTTTATTTTGTTTATTTATATTTCTTTTTATGTAAAGAAAACTAATAAGTAATAAAGTAAAGCAAAGAAAAAGAAAAGAAATACTTAGCTGGATATATAAGGGTTCTTCTCCCCCAAGCTGGTTATTGGCGCGGTAGCATAGTGAGGTGGCTGGATGTTTAAATGTTGGAACATAGTCTCCATATTTTGGTGTTGTTGGTGTTGTTGTTTGTTGGAGATTGGCATTGTGTGTGATTATGCAAAGTACCTTGCATGACAACTGTTCTTTCTTCAATGGTTTCGAGTCTATTGTCGATGCGATGAAAGGTTATTTGTTCATCGTGGTACCCATGGCCAGAGTAGGATATTCATCCTCCCTGAGATGAGTGATGTTCATCTGAAGTTGCTTCTTGGTCTTGCCAGGAAAATCTCCCACTACCATAATAGTATTGGGGATTTCCTGCTTGCCATTGTTCACTTGGAGCTTCTTGCCAGGAGCCCCTTGAATGATCAGGTGTGGGTTGGCTCCAAACCGTACGTTGTTCTTGCCCAGTATGGAATAATCATATCTTTAGATCTTGCAGCCATTTTATTCTTCTTCTCCTGAAAGGTTAGTGACCAAGAATACAAAATGCTACTCTATCAAAGAATATGATCTCTCTCTCTCTTTTTCCCCTTCTTTTTTTTTAAATTTTATTAAAGTAAAAATCACAACCTTTTTAACTAAGCATGAGTCTTCATGTACTCACATTTTTTATATTATTTTTATTGATTGAGAGTGAACCTTCATGTGCTCACATTTTGTTATTGCCACCACAATGAACAGGTGTCAACAAGCAACAACAATAGGTTTGTAGAATAATTCATCAAGAATATCACAAGTTACTCCTATGTTGCATGTTTCAATAGGTTCCTTCTCCTTTTGAGCAACAAGAGAAGAGTGAGATTTTTCAAACTTCTCATGGGCTTCTACTAGCCTCTCATGAGTTCATTGAGCTCATCAAAAGATTGCTCAAGAGCTTGAGGCTTCTTGCGCAATTCTTTGAATTCCTTTCTCTTCTTGTCCATGTAAGATTGAGCCTCTTATAACATGTTCATGAGGTCCTCCTTTGAGTACTCCTCATCATCCTCAATCTCACTATCACTCTCATCAGTGGATTTTACCTTTGAGCCCTTGGCCATGAAGCAAGTCGATGGAGCATCAAATAGAGAAGACTTGTTGTTGATAGCAATGCTAGCAAAAGCCTTCTTCTTGGTTGCCTTCCTCTCATCATCACTATCATCATCATCACTTGAGGACTCATCACTATCCCAAGTGACACAATATAAGTGACCCTTCTTTTTCTTCTTGAAGGTCATCTTCTTCTCATCATCATTGTCACTATTGTATGGGCAATCCGCAATGAGATGATCCTTTCTTTTGCACTTAAAGCACCTTCTTGGTTCTTCCTTGTTCTTGGATGATGCTTTCTTTCTTTTAGCACCATAGCCCTTTTTTCTTCATGAATTTGCAAAACCGACGCACAAAGAGATCCATTTCTTCATCTTCATCATCATGAGAGCTTGTGCTTTCATCATCACTTGATTCTTGTTTCTTGTTCCTGCCTTTGCTCTTGGATGATGATGCGGCCTTGAATGCCACACTCTTCTTCTTCCTATTTTCTTGACTAACTCCATCCCTTTCCACACGGTATGTGTCTTGTGTAACCCATCACCTATTACTTGGTTTGGGGCCATGTTCTCCAAGCCATCTCTCACAAGAATAGTAACCTACGAGGGGTTGTTCCCACGCTCGCCTAACTAGCACATGTGTCGTCCACTCGACCATCCTATGTCAATCCCGACCAACGCAGGGTCCTCAGGAGAGTGCCCACCCGAACCTTGAGCTCATGAGTGTTCTATTTACGCTTTGGACCAGAGCTCCTTCACTCACATGGCTTAGTCGGCTTCACTCCAACTAGGCTCGGGGGCTCGGATTCAAGGATGGAAGATCAAATTTACATGCATTCAACCACTTGGCAACAAGGTATCGTTGATCATTGTCTTCGAGAGGTTACTCAACTACACCCATGAGGACGTCTACAAGACCTTATAGTCGACTCCGGGTAGTCGGCTCTAGGCTCGGGGCCTGCGGGATATATATCATCAGCGGATGCATTCAAATTTTTTGAAATAAATTAGACAATTGTAGAAAAGACCCTCCAGCTTTTTATGCTAAATAGCAAGAGACTCAGGGGTTAAGCACATATGCTTCACCTAATGGTGATTCATATTAAAAAATTCAAGAGCACATCATGGATTTTCTTAGAAGGTACTCGGATAAAGCTTGATTCTACTCGGCTAGCTCCAAAAGATGCAAGGCGACTTCCAAGATCAACCATGAAGTGCTCGGGGGCTTGTCGAACCAGGATCCTAAGGGTTCCCTATAGGGCCGACTACCCGCCATGGGTCTGGGCCGGCCGAAGGTCTGCTTGAAGACACAAGACAAGGTGACGTGATCTCTAAGCTATCAAGGACCAACCTAGTCGGATTATTAGGAAAGTTAGTCTATGTAGTAGAATTAGGACTCTCCTGTTGTAACCGACTAGGACTAGAGAAATACGCCTTGCCCTCTGGACGATATAAAGAGAGGCAGGCGCACACCCCTTGTATATAATCAATCATACAGAACCACCCAACGCAAAAAGCACTCTGCCTAACTGGACTAGGGTATTACGCTATTCAGCGGCCTGAACCAATATAAATCACTGTCTTTTGCGTTCATCACCGAGTTCTGCATACGTTGAAGCTCTTGTAACATCGTCCCGGGTAACCCTGTGACGTGTTGCTGGTCAATAAATATTGATAGCATGATTATCAACTCTCTATAATTCTTGAAATTAAATGTCTATGAAACTCTAGAATGAAACTTTTCATCGACGGTGGGTGTTTTATCCGAGTTTCATTTCATTGTAGCCGAGTCTTAGAAACAACACAATGAAACTATCCACTGAGACTGGCCTAAGGCATGCTCTCTCATCCCCAAATAAATGTCCTTTTGGGTTTTGTGTAGGTCAAATGTATATAAATTTAATTAGCAACATTTATATTTCAAAATAAATTTATCATAAAATATATTCAACAATTAATCTGATGATACTTATTAGGCATAACAAATATTAATGATTTATTGTATATAAGTAATTAAATATAAAAATATTTGACTTCTCAAAATTAAAAATTGAGAATAACACTTATATTTTGTAAAGAGTGAGTACATCACTAATCGCGCAAGCCATTTTTTATTGCAAGTGCGGCAAACACTTAGAAAAAAGCGCTACTGTTTTATGTCTGGTTAAAAAAATAACCCACATCTAGAAATGTGATCTCCACGCAACGACCTCGAATCGGATCGTTAGCTGGATACACTAGAGCATCTACAAGAATCTTCTTAAAAATCAACTCTCTAAAACATCATTTGAAAAACCAACTGCATAAAAATCTTTGTCGTTGCTCTGTCTAAAGAGCCATTTTTGCTATATGTTTTCACTCTTCAACAACATCTTTTCTATATCTTATGTACAATCTAAAGAGTCATTTTCGTTATTTTTGGCTAGCGAGAAATCAAGAACAGAGGATGGTTATATTTGGATAACTATTTAAAAAAGTTATTGAAGGCTATTTTTTATCAAAATCTTTATTCGTAACAATTAGAAAAGATATATAGAGTCACTTGGAGTTGCTCTTAGTGGAGCCAGGATCATTAATTAATTTACTTATTTGTGGTCTGACCATCCTTGCATTATTGGTTTAGAATCTTTGTCTATTATTTTTTTAGAATTACAACGAACGTATGCATACTCTCTCGTATGAACGCAGGTACATAATCCCAATCTCCACGAGGCTTCTTTGAATACTGGATCGGTAAATTTTTTAGATTGATTAAGTCAGCACATGTGTAAGGCTACGTACCCTTTCGCTACTCTCTCTTATTAACAGGCAGTCACCAACTCACCATCGTGTGATTCCGGCTGCTGGAAGTGTTGATGCTGATCGGCTGGCCTGACTTGCGTGGATGTTGCCATGGCCACGTTGCAGTTGCACAAGCACGCCACGGACCTCATCCACCACTGGGCGCATATATAGTACTACTGCCTGACTCCCTGCCCCAAGATCGTGATCCCATCCCCACTCATGGCCTCCACCGCCGGCACCGACCGCCTCGCCCAGCTCAAGGCCTTCGACGACACCAAGGCCGGCGTCAAGGGCCTCGTCGACGCAGGCGTCACCGCCGTCCCGCCCATCTTCCATCACCCGCCCGACCCCCACGACGCCGCCTCCAACGCCCACGCCGCCGCCGCCACAATCCCGGTCATCGACCTCGCCTCCATTTCAGCAACCAACAACGCCGCCGCCCACCACCACCAGCTGGTCGCCCAGGTCAAGGCGGCCGCGGAGACCGTGGGTTTCTTCCAGGTCGTCAACCACGGCGTGCCCGGGGAGCTCCTCGCCCGCATGCTCACGTCCGTGAGAAGCTTCAACGAGGAGCCCGCCGAGTCGCGGCGGCCCTACTACACCAGGGACCCGGCGAGGCGCGTGAGGTACCAGAGCAACTTCGACCTCTTCCACTCTCCCGCCGCCAACTGGCGCGACACGATCTTCATCGAGTCCGTGGCGGCGCCCGAGGAGATGCCGCCGGCGTTCAGGGACGTCGTGCCGGAGTACACGCGGCAGGTGCGGGCGCTGGGCGCGCACCTGCTGGCGCTGCTGTCGGAGGCGCTGGGCCTGGACGCGGGCTACCTGCAGCGCGACGCCGGGTGCCTGGACGGCGGGCCCGCGCTCGGCTGCCACTACTACCCGCCGTGCCCGGAGCCGCGGCTCACGCTGGGCACCACTAGGCACTCCGACCCCAGCTTCCTCACGGTGCTGCTGCAGGACGACGCCGTTGGCGGCCTGCAGGCGCTCGTCGGCGGCGGCGGATGGGTGGACGTGCCTCCGCTGCCCGGCGCGCTCGTGGTCAACGTCGGCGACTTCCTCCAGCTCATGTCCAACGACAGGTTCAAGAGCGTCGAGCACCGGGTGGTGGCCGTGCCTGGCACCGCCGCCGCGCGGGTCTCGGCGGCCTGCTTCTTCAGGCCCACCGGCGCTGCCGCGTCCTCCAGGGCGTACGGCCCCTTACCCGACCTCGTCAACCCGCCGGAGGCCCCGCGGTACCGGAGCGTCACCACCGTAGAGTTCCTCGGCTACCATAGGCAGAAGGGTCTCGACGGACGATCTGCGCTCGACCAGTTCAGGCTGCTGCCATGAGCATCTCAACCCAATTATTCCATTGTTGTAAAAAAAAAACAATTATTGCATCACTAAGTCTCTTTGGCCGTCCTGCTCTCCACTACAATAACAGTCTTTTACTTAGCAATCTTTAAAAACTATCTTAATTTTATATGCGTCACTAAACAAATTTGTGAGACACTCATGATACTGCTCTAAACACCTTTTTTTTTCCTCCATGTCACTTCGGTATATTTTTGGCTATGAACAGAAATGACCGTTTTGTCCTTAACTTAATTGGCTTCCAATTTTCTTCCACTTTCTCTATTGCCACTCAAGTCCTTAGAGTCAGTTGGAGTTTCAATTTTCTTCTGATTTTAGTGCCACTACGTCCGAGCTATTATTGGTGCCAAAATTTAATGGGAAAATTGGTTCTTAGCATTGAAAGATGGCAAGAATTAGAAAATACCATTAAAAGAGCTCTCTTACGTAAAATACCATTGAAAGATGAAAACGTTACCTGAGAATAGCATTCCGTCACGTTATGTCATGTTTGGAGGTAACGGCGTCCACTTCCACCCGCTGGGAGCCTGGGATGCTCCTTCTTCCTCCTCCATCCATCTACTGCTCACCAGCCGAACTGTTTGCAGACAACCAACATGTGAGAGACTGCATGGTGCTTGCTTACCATCACCATTAGCTAGCTATCTACGAGCAGAGCAGAGCAGCGGCGATGCTGCTAGTGGTGCTGTGCGCGACCGTGCTGTCGTGGTCCAGGAGCGGCGCTGCCATGCAACCGTGCGGCGCCGGCGACCTCGCCGCGCTGCACGGGTTCTGCGTCAGACAATGGGTGCTGCATCTGGACCGGGGTGATGTGCGGCGAGGCCGAGGCTGCGGTCGCCATTGTCGGGCTGGCGCTACCCAACCGGACGCTGCGGGGGTAGGTGGTCGCGTCGCTCCCCTGCCCCGCCGCGCTCCGGTGCTCAACCTCTCCGGCAACGCGATCCGTGGCACGCTGCCCTCGGGGCTGCTCCGGCTCCGGACGACCGGACCCTCGAGGTGCTCGACGTTGGCGCCAATGTGCTCGCCGGCGGGCTGGCCAGACTGCCAGAGTCCCGTAACGGCGGTGATTGACCTCCTGGGCCTCCTAGTGCTCCACGTGTTCAACTTCTCGTCTCCGTCGGTGCGTGTCCTGCGGCTCTCGATGAACAGGCTCTCCGGCGTGTTCCCTCTCAGGTTCGAGAAACACCAGTCGCTCACCTGAGCTCTCCCTCAATCCAGTCCCTGTCGGACGCCGCCGCCGTGAGCTTGAGCAGCAGCTCCCACGACGACAGCGACTTCGACGAGCAATTTTCCCTGCAAACCACCTGCCTCGGCACGAATTCTGACGAGCTGAGGCAAACCGAGGCGTGGCCTGTGCAGTTCGCGAGCGGGTGCCGCAACCTAAGATTCAAGTTCGAAGGCATCGTGGATGATCCAGACTCCAGACAGTGGCTGCCATGAACGCGTCAAGGTCGACAGCGACGCGACCATGGTTGTCAACCTGGTGTTCCCGGTAGCACAGAGATCGATAACGAGCACAAGAGAAAAAATGTCCAGCGCGTTGGCTCGCATCCGCTCCCATCAGTGTGCTCTTGGTAGAAAGACAGCGACGCCGGCGGCGGCAATGCCACATCGAGAGGACGCTCAAGCTTGCTTCCATAGTTGCGCCGTTCATGGCCAGCCTCCGGTACCTCACCGTGGTGTTCGACTCGCTGCGCGTGCCTCCCCGCCGACAGCGCCGAGAGGCTTGCCATCCAGAGGAACCACCTGGGCATGGAGATCAGCGACGCCATGGCTTCTTTTTTTGTTTTTATCTTTTCAATTCAAGTTGCGTGGATGTGGATGGAGCTAGCGACGTTACTTCCGAACGTGGCGGAAAGCTATTGTCAGGTAAAGTTTCCATCTTTCGATGGTATTTCACCTAACAGAGCTCTTTTGATGGTATTTTCCGATTCTTGCAATCTTTCAATGCTATAGAACCAATTTTCCCAAATTTAATTACCTTTTTTTATCAACATACTTGAGTCAAGTAGTATAAGTGCATGCATCTGCGCCCCGTGATTTGAGAAAAAAAACAAAACTTAAAGCATCTTGCAGCCCTGTTCGCTTGAACTTATCAGCCTGGCTTAACAGCCATGGTACAGTGTTTTTCTCTCACAACAAAACAGCATCAGCCAGCTTATCAGCCACAGAAACCATCAGCCGAACAATACAGAGCAAGTTGAGATGATCACAGATCAACTGAAGACAAGAAAACAATGATACTGGGGATCTAAAAAGAAAAAAGCAAAATAAACAAAAACTTAAAGCGTCTGGAAGATATTGGGCATGTTTAGATGTATCATAGCTAACTTCAGCTGGGGGTGTTTGGATGCACCGGCTAATTCACAATCTTGGACCTTGCTACCCCTCTTGACTCTATCGCTTTTATTGTTTTGTACATTGTTTCCCTCCCCACGGCTAGGCTTTCACCTCTCCCCTGCCCCATTTCCCATGGTCATGGCCACTTCGGTGGCCGCCATGCCCCACGAGTGCGCCTCATGGTGGGAACCCACACCCAAGCATCGCCGCCGGAGCCCGCCGACCAGCGCCGCTGCTCTAGGAAAGAAGAAGGGGCGGATTGGGGAAGAAGAAGGAGACAGCTTGGGGAAGAAGGAGCCACTATGCGGCTTGGGGAAGGAGGCGGCTTGGGTGGCACCGGGAGGCCTCACGCCCCTATGTCCTCGTCGGGTCCATGCACCCCAAGTCCACGCGTCGCTGGGTCCCCGTGTCGCCCTCACTCAGCTCTCCCGATGCCTAGGCGCGGCCAACGGGCTCCCTAAGATCAATCTCCACGGCGGGGACTGGTGGCGGCGCTCCGGTATGGCGGCGGGCAGCGGGGATTGGTGGGGGCTATGGCTAGATTTGTGGCGGTGGCGGCTAGGGTTCTTGCCCGACCACCTAGAAGAGCGAGCGAGCGACCGTGATGTGGAAGGGGAAAGACAGCGAGTGATGCGGACGAGGATGCGGGTCAAGCGCCTGGATTCAGAGGGCTAAATTCGTCTTTTGCCGGTTTTAGCTGGGATTAGCTAGGTCTCAATAGCTAATGGGATTAGTTGGTTTCCATTAGCTGGGGCCCTATTAGCTGCTAATTGAATGGGGTGTTTGGATGCACCATAGCTAAAATTAGCCAGCTAAAATTTAGCAGATGCATCCAAACAGGTCCATTATCACAATGAGCAAGTTGAGATGAAAAGCAAAAGAACATGGCTAAAGTAAATTCGATGGACAGGATAAAAATGTCGTGGCAGGTTTGTAATTATTGCAAGAATGACTTTTCTGATCATGTCCTAGACTAGTCATCTTAGGTAGTGTTTGAATCGGGGGATGGGGTGAGTTGGAGATGGGACGATCCCACTGAAAGGATCAAGATGCCCAAGAGGAGGGTGAATTGGGATAATTCTAAATTTTTGTTATCATTAAGTCATATACTTAGCCCACTTCACCCCTTTTGCCTAGAATGTGTTTCTATTGCTCTCCCGCACAAAAGTTTAGCACCCTAGGTTCCAATCCTACTCTAGCATGGCAATTTTAGGAATGTAAAGACATGAAATGAATTTCTCAAATGTAAATGCTCAAAGTAAAGAGAGGGAAAGGAACATGGCGATGTTTTTCCGAGGTATCGGAGAGTCGCCACTCCCCACTAGTCCTTGTTGGAGCACCCGCGTAAGGGTGTAGCTCTCCCTTGATCCACGCAAGCATCAAGTGCTCTCTGCGGGCTGATTCTTTGACACTCTGTCACGGTGAATCATCCACAACCGCTCACAACTTGACTTGGGCCATCCACAAGCTCCGCCGGATGATCACCAAGTTCCCAATTACCACCGAGCCATCTAGGTGATGGCGATCACCAAGAGTAACAAGCACAAACTCTCACTTGACCAAGACAAGCCTAATGAGAAAGGTGGATGCACACTTGCTACTCCTTATGCACTAATGAGGTCCTTAATCTTGGATTATCAAATCTCAATCACCTTACTAGGCTCTTGCTCTCCCTTACACTCCAAAGGGTGTTTCTCAACTAAACAAATGGGCAAGAGAGCTCCCTTGGACTAGTGGAGTAAGCATTTATACCCCCTCATTCAAAACATAATGTTTGGAGGCTGAGTCAGCACTCTACGGGATGACCGGAAGCTCCGGTCAGTTATACCCGCCACTATGTCAGAGAGAGCCGTTAAGATTTGACTGAACTCTGACCAGCATTCGGCCAGCACCAACCAGACGTGTCCGGTCAAGAAAAAACCATTCTGGAACCTTACTGGAATCGACCGGACGTAGGCACCTCAGCGTTCGATGCTCCTCCACTCAGCATCCGGTCAGTACCAGACGAGTATAGTTAATTGACCAGACTCTGACCAGTGTCCGGTCAGCACACGCTGGACGCGTCCGGTCATGAAAAAACCTCTCTAGAGTCGACCGGACACAGGCACCCTAGCGTCCGGTGCTCCTCCACTCAGCGTCCGGTCAGTACCAGACGACTGCAGTTCATCGAATGAACTGACCTGACTCACCCTCCAGCGTCCGGTCACAACCAGACTAGCGTCTGATCAGTACTTTGACCCTCCATTCACTTCCAACTCAAAATCCTATGTGAATGAAGATGACTTTGATTGATCTTAGGGGTATTCTTGAGCTACCTAGTGCTAGGTTTGACAAGTGTGCACCACACCTATACCCACTATACTCACCTAGGTCAAGCTACTAGTCCATACCCCCCTTAATAGTATGGCCAAAGGAAAAATAAAGTCCTAAACTACTCTAAGTGTCACTTTAACTCCAAATGACACTTAGAACTAGTCGTCCTTAACCTTGTCGTCCATCCTTAAAAACTGGAACGAATTCCATCGACGGGGGCATGAAAACCATAATTACCCAATCAATTGCCATTAACATAACCTAACTAACATCACCTCTTCAAAACACACGTTAGTCATAGTAATTTCATGTCGTCATTAATC